ATGGTTCTGGTTGTAGGTTCTTTCCGGTAGCCTTCTAAGTTGCGGTTGACTCGATAACGCTCTCCCCATGGGATGTCTGGAAAGATACGGATGGAGCAGTGTTCAGTTCTGAGACTCTCTGTCGATAGTAGTACTGATTCTACTGCAGTGATGGAGTTCAGCACAATGCGTAGAAGTCTTGGCTCTCCGAAATGCTTAGAGTTGGGGTGTCGCGTAATACGCACTACGTGTACAGGTTTTAATACAACTCCGATCAGGTTACTAATAATATCCCACTGGTTGAGGTCATCCAACTGCCTGCCACTGATTGATGTCGACTTTGATTCTGGGATATTGGAGCACAGTACGCTCAGTACAGGTAGTTGTTTCTTTACACCTTCCTACGTGTCGCGGTTAGTGACTGAAGTACTCGGAGATGTACCGGAGGAAATCGGTGGTGCTTGCGCTAGGAAAACTCCGCTACGCTCCTCAGTTTCCGATCTAGTTGGGGGTGAGGTTACTTTTTAAATGAGGGTTCTTCTTGGAAGCAACTGTAACCCAACTTTCGTTAGTACCGGCTTGCTCTTTTTCTACGCATCATGTCGGGAGTTTGGAAGTAGCTTTACTTGTAGTTACTCCGATCGAACTAGGAACCGCTTTAGTCAAATATGAGCCACACGTGTTATTGGGACAGTGGTTGATGTTCTGGACTCTAGGTGTCGTGTTACTTGCGGTGTTACTAGCAGTTCTTCGCGGGAGAGGAGCAGCAACCAAGGAAGAGGATTGGGTTGCACAGTCCGCTATGCTTACCCCAAACGTAGCGATTTTGGTGGTCACCATTTCCTCAAACTTGGCTAGTAGCTGGTCATACTTCTGAGATAATAGGAGCACGCTTTTTATCAGTGAAATCGATGTTCATTCCACACAGAAGCATAGAGAGTCTGGTTTGTTTACTAACTTGCCTTGACTAGGCTTAACTCAGCGGCATCTCGCATGGAAAAATTTGTAACAGTTACGGCACAAAATGCCTCCTTAAGAAGTTTGGAACATGAGCCACATAGGTCTTTAGACAGTGGAACACTGGGCATCGGGCTTGCTGAGCAAAGGTTACGAAACACTTGAATGACTCACCCTCTATGGTAAAAAGTTGTTCTATTACTGACGTTCTCGGTAAGGTCACAGTGTTCAAGTTGCAGTTGTGTGCTTGCGGACTGTCCTCTCTGTCGCTCCGGTCGAATGTGTCAGCTTGAACGTAGGGCAGAATACACGTGGGTGTGATTGAGAATTTTCGTGGTTACTCCAATGGGTCGCGCCGGGTGAATTTGCTTTGAGACGTGTAGCTGCACCAAGCAATGTTGGATTTGGACGAGTGACAGTTCGTGGGAAAGCCGTTGGTATGGTCTATCAAGTGAGACAAGACGGTGTCTCGGTTGGTTGGATTTATGCAACTTTTGGCGCTTGGATATCGGCGAAACACTACCCGGAATTTGAAATTCAGGTAAATGTAGAATGTACTGGAGTGTTTCGCGAAAATAGTATTACAAGTTGGAGCATTTAAAAGCACGACGAATGAGTACAGATCCAAAGGTGTGCGACAAAATGACGCTGAGCCATAGTGCAAAAACCACGAGCGCACAAATGATGGATTTGCACGCACGTTCACTCAAGCTCACAGTGGCCACAGAAGACCTGCTGTCAGTGAAGCTAGCTGTGAGATTGATGTATCACAAAGCACTAGTTTGCGTAGACACATGTACTGCCAGGCCGAGCACTTCCACTCTCAATTCAGTTGGCCTTCACCTTCTGGTTTCTTAAAAAGTATGTCTGAGTGGGTGTTTTGGTACGTATCGCTGGAACAACCGACCGAATTGGAGGCCTATCTTGAGCGTCGTCACTTAAATCGATTCAAAGCAGCTGTTCCGGACGGACTTCCTCCAGAGCTGTTCAAGTATTTTAACGATAAAATTGTCCACCACTAAACAGCTCCTTGTATATTTGGTGTAAAGAAAAGGTTTATGTTCGTAAGGCGAGGCTAGTATCCTACCTATCTTCAAAAGATGTGCTCGTACCTCATGCACCAAACACAGAGTAAGCAGTCTAATATCCGTCGCCACCACATTGCTAACAATCAATCTACTGCGCAGGTTAACACCGGTTCAAGAACTATACTCCCATGATAAACAAGCTGACTTCCGCCCCCGGTATAGGTTGTGTGGACCACATTTTTACTCTTCATCAACTCCTCAAACGGCGCCACCTCTATCGCCAGCCTAGCACTGCCGCTTTTGTATATCCGAGTTGCATTCAACTCGTTAGACCGGCCTACTTTACAGCGTTGCTTGCAAAGGAATGGGGTACCCGAAAATTACATCACAATAATTCGAGCTTTGTACCACCATGTCTCTGGTAAGCTCTCCTTACCTTTTGCGATCCCTTGCGGTGTGCGACAAGGATGCACCATGTCCCCGTTTCTGTTCAACTTTGCAATTAAAGTGGTTCCATTAAGCGCTCTGGAGGTCTCCGGACTACTAGCGCTGAGCTTATCCCAGGCGACCGCGCAACGTACTTGGACTATGCCGATGATATTGCCTAGTTTGGTGACGACCAGCAGGTCATGCAGCTCGTTCTAAAATGCCTGGTGATTAAAGCTACTAAGTACGATATCTACTTCTATTCATTTATATGCAAAGTTCTACTCCAGGATTGGCACCCACCTGTGTCGTGCTGATTCTTGAAGGCGCACAGCTTGAACAAGTAGATAGTTTCACCTACGTTGAGAGCTGCGCTTCTTATAACGGCACCATTAGAAGAGATCATTTTCTCCGTATTGCCAAACCCCGCTTGGTATTCGCTGATCTGAGGCATCCATGGTGTCATTGTGACGTTTCACTCTCGGACAGAGAATTGGTCTACAATCCCTGTGTTCGCGCGGTACTGTTGTATAGAGGCGAGTCCTGTTTTCTTCGTGTTGTAATGTTTATTATCGTTTACAATTTCTGCTTCGTTTACTCATTTTTTGTCACAACAAATTTTGTACAGTCTGCTTGAATTGACAAAAAGCTACTCGAAAATATTTCGTTGAAATTCGCGCTTCCGTCGTGCGGATTTTCGGATTTGCTACTGCTGCTTGCGAACGCTGCCTTCGTGTCTGCTTGAAGGCTGCATATTTGCTGTGAGATTACAATGCAACGTCTGCTTCCATTGTGTTCATGTCGTTGACAGGTATTTCGTTCGCCGTAGCCGGGCGTTAACTGTGAGTTGATTGTGAGTTAGAATTTCCTTAAGTTCTTGCTTTTTCTAAGGGACTTAAGCCTTTTCGTATTTCATCCACCACTACAGTGTAAAGGATTTGCATCAGATTTTGGCCTTTGACAAGAGCTATCTGTGGAGGATAGCTTGTGCGTAGTCCATGTAGACATCGCGTTCTGGGTAAAGTGGGCTTACCTCTGGACAAGTTAATACCGCTGCACTAACTGAGGTGGCTAGGTCAAGTCATACGCATGCCCTGCGACCGCCTACCACGACTCGCTTTATTTGCTTGTGCAAGGCCGTAATGAAATAAATCGAGCGGTGGCCAATCTACTAGACTGTCAAGGCACTAACGTCCATTATAGCTGTTGTCGGCCCCTTATGTCTTTCGGGACGAAGAGTCAAGTGAAGAACAACGATGGCTGAAAATTTATGGAAGCATCACACCTAACCACGTTCTATAGAAGGCTTGCATGAGTCTATGATTTCACCATTATCATCAGCAGTGGTATATCGGGCAACTGAAAAGATGCATTGTTGCCCTACAATCCCAATGACTTAAGGAACAAAGAACAATACGAGAGAGATAAGAGAAAGTTAGCGTAAAACTTTAATAACATAAACAAACGTCTAGTGCCAACAGCATGGCGTCACAAACAGCTGACTATCGTGCAGACAGCTAGCAGCATCAGCAAGACAGCCTCCTTGTGGCATTCTCTGTCCCCTGTAATAATCAACCACTGCCCCGCAGATGAATGGGCGTACGTAGTACTTGCCAAAGCCAACGCCCCTTAATCAGTGTTATCGGTTTTTCTAAGTAACTAGCTTGAGAATCACTGCCTATTCCTCGCCTACGCACACCAATGTTGCGGACACTCTGGTGTCAACCGACAACAGCAATGCTCCGCACACTGCGATGATGAAAGGCTTGAAGACGCCCCAGACCTTTAAACCGAAGAGGCCCAGTCGCACTCCCATACAGTGGGACGTTGCAGATGCCGCAGATTCAAGAAGGAAGTGCTGGCTATCGCAATAGATAAATTGATCTCAGTTGCTCTGCGCCCATTGTTGCTGATGCAGCTGCCAAGTAAGTAAATTGATTAACTACCTCGAGTTCTCCGCCATCAAAGATAAAGACGTCATCAAGAGACTGATGGTTATGCAATCAGCATTTTACAATTTGAAGGTGCAAAGCGCGTACATCATAATTAGACCACTAGAAAAATTATTCAGGGTTGATTGCGCCGTCTCAACATAGTTAAACAACAAGGCGATATGGTCCGCAAAGTCAAGATCAAGTAACCTTTGGTCTATGCACTAATTCTACCGATTAACATGGTAATCAAGTAACTCACAAGACAACACAAAACGGCGTGTGAAAGACATAAAAAATTTTCTTTGTGTAGTTTTCATTTTGTGTTCACGGTCGGTGGCCGAATAGCCTGCGCTCCTGCTTTGCAACCCTAAGGTTACCGGTGCTAATCCGCGTAGGGTCGGACGTCCTCGTGGTGTACCCAGGACATGCACGACTTGTGGTGTTCGCGTAGCAGCATGACGCCGTTACAGTGCATAACCGGCGATTATTTTTTGCTTAACCGTATGATGTCTATTGTATAGACTGCTGCTAACCGTATTGGCTAAATTATTAGCAATCTTTATTCAATTAGCAAATTTTTCATAGTTCATCACATATTGCGTAAGAATCATATGATGTAACCGTAAAATGGTTATATTTACCAAGAATAACATATATCGAATAGAAAACTATCAAGGTTGGTATTTCGTAAATGATCTTTTGGCAATTTTTAAGGAGTTAACACACAAAGGCATGGGGTGAATGAGCTTTATGCAAAGTTCACTCATGCTTTCATTGCGAGCCAAGGTCGCTACAATTTGTTCAAGGAGCAGTTGCTTGTTTGTATTAATCGTTTTCTTTATCTCTGCCTTTAGGATTGCCCATAAACTCTTTATTGGTTTTATGTCAGGAATATTATCAGGTCATAGTAACAATTCTATATCACAACCCTCAAGAAAATGGGTACCTTCACGCTTATTGTGACACGGAGCACTGTCGTGCATGCAAATGAAGCCTCCAGTCACCGTAAAGCCTTTTTCCTTTGACCATTCACACAGCTGAGGGATCAGTTGGTTCTCCAATAGTTCTCTGTTCTGCTGCTGGTTCTTGTTACCCTGGAAGATGGAGAGCTGACCAGTTCCGTAGATGCTCATAGAGCTCCATATCTGACCTGAGTGGGAAGTTTGACTCGTTGAATAATGCATTCTTCCCACATCTTTTCACCAGGTAATCGGCGGACATATAGATTGCTTGTCACAGCAAAGGATGATGTAGTCCTTGCTAAAAACCAACTAAATAAAACACAGAAAAACGCAGAAAACACAGCAAAACTAATGTAGACGCAATTTTTCTGAAAAATCCTCATGAAAATAAAACTTGCGCTTCTTACGCGCTCTCAGTCTTCTTTGAATCATTTTTGAAGCGGTTTGGCCCATTTTTGTCGCTTTTGCTTTGTTTGGTCAACTTTTGCTTTTTCAAAGGCGTGCAAGCTTTGAAGTCCAGAATTCAAAGTCGTCTTCTTACAGTTCTCGAACTAACTGCAACAACGCTGTTCCAACCTCCCTTGTAGCTGTCTGCTAGATGCTTTGCGATTCTTTAGTCATTCCACTACTAGAAATGAGTCATTTCGAGCTGTTGTTTCTCTTCCGCGACCACATGTACAGGAACATTTAGGGGACAGTGGTACATGCTTTTGCAATTTCTTTTAAAGTCGACATACAGACGCCGGGCTGACACCAACCTTGGTTGCAATTTCTGCTCATTTAACATCTTTTTTCAACAAAATTTCAAGTTGTAAAAGCTTTTGAAGAGTAAGATTACCTAATTTACCCAGTAATATGCCAACATCATCTAAAACCTGGCGGTCAATACGGTTGTGTCGTTACTTTAGCAGACACCTTGAAAAATAACAATAAGCGTAATTAAACATACCTATTAATTTATCCACAACCAGACAAGTGTATTCCTGAAATATAGACTACAGCTGTAAAGCACGAAGTATGATAAAATGTAACCGTCCTTTTACAAAACTACTGTACACGTCACATCAACCAACTTGTCAGCATTTACAAAAGATCTCACATACTATACCTTTACGTGGTAACTACTTGAAACATGCCGAAATATCATTTACGAAATACAAACCTTTTTGATTTGCTATTCGATATATGTTATTCTTGCTAAATCTAAGCATTTTACAGTTACATCATTTGATTCTTACGAGATGTGTGATGAAAGATGCAAAAGCGTTGATTAAAAAATTTCTAATAATTTGGTCAATACTGTATATATAAGTATGTGTACGGCATCATATTCTCAACATAACATTGAGGCTGCGTGGTGACAGTACAACCGTTATCCGTATGATATACGCCCTGCAAGGCGCGTAGCAACACCTGTGTTTTCTAGACATTGTCTGTAGCATGACTAGCGTCATCCGTTACGAAGTTACCAACTCCCTCCTCAAGGAAGCCCTATAGGCGAAATAGTACTCTGAGAGTCTCCTGACAGTCCCCCACAGTTCGCTAAGTCCGGAATAGGTATACGCTAAACATGCTACGGATTGTCAAAGGACTGCAAAAAACTTTTTTTGCTGCGCAGACCCAAAGCTCGCCAAATGGAGCTAGGATAATAAGCAATATAGGACAATGAGCATTGTCCCACATTTCCTATCATCTTAGCCCCACTTACTGCTTTGGTTGTAGCATGTGAATGAAACGAACGCGCGCGTGTTCATCCAAGCACCCAGGATTTGTTTATTTGTACAAAAATTACATATTCCTCTTCGAAACAAGTCAGTTACTCGGGAAAGCCCCCTCACTATCACATTCAGTCGTATGTGGTATCCAAGTCTGGCAGCGCAATACACCAGTCATTAATTTTCGAAACTTCCACGGTGTAAGCAGACCTGTCCACACACGTCACCAAAAAGCGTATGCTAGATTGACTTTTGGACGTTCATGAGTGGCCAATTTTTATGCTTCTGGCCGTCCCAGTTGGACACTTGTTGGACGACTTTTGGTCACTCAGAAAGTTGGTTCTAACTCACACCTAACATAAACCTTGAAGGCTTTTTTCCTAGTTGCAGATACCGTTAAGCTTAAGACCAAACCGATTTCCAAATTATAAGTACGCAATAGCATAACCTTTAAGTTAAACCAAAGATGGTTTTGTGTGACGAACCTTCGTTCAAATTGGAACATAACTTGGTCGCTTAGGATGTTTTTTAATGCACTCTTAGCATCTACCGTACACGCATGTTTTGCCTTCAAACGCCGTCACCAATAAGCAGAAATCGATTTTCAAATTGTAAGTTCATAATACTATAGTTGATAATCTGAACCCAAAATGTCTTCGAGTGACCAAAATTCGACCAAAAAGTGTCCAACTGGGACTGCCTGCTGGACAAAAAGTGGTCACTCAGGGAGCTACGGTGGTCACTCGCGCTGAGTACAATAAAGATATGCTAAAAGTTATGCCTCTCAGGTAAAGAAAGGAGGTGCTAGAGATGTATAAGCTTATATAACGACATTCCTGGGCAGATCCTGCTATTTTCTTTATATTAACTTTTGCCTCTGTGTGTAACCAAGAACACTCTAAATGGGACGACTAGCCGTCCACTAGATCATTGGATTATAGAGAGCAGAAGGAAGATCCTTTGTCAGCGCTGTTACTTCCCGCTCATTGCGGAGATGACGTGCGTCATTGCGGAACGTGGTTTCGCAGAGGACCACTGTAGCTGTATCAGCGGTAGCAGAATCCCAGCGTGTTACGGAGAGAAAGCTTACAGTCAGCCATCAAGCCGAGAGCAGTGGCGTAGAAGTAGCTCAATCTACAATTAGAGATTGAACGCGAATATAGATCAAAACGCGAATCTATGACATCAGCGAGGTCATAGCCCACAAGTTTGCAGATGGTTCAGAAAAGGCAATCGCACATGCAGCCAGATCGCTGTTTGCCGCAGAGCAAAATTATGGCTAGATAGAGAATGTAGTCTTGGCGATAGTCTAAGCTGTTAAGCAATTTCACAAAATGCTGTGTGGAAGGAAGTTTACACTTCTTACTTACTAGTAGCCGCTGTTGGCAGTTTTCGGATCAAAGTCAAGCATCTCAGTCTATACGGCAAACGGGTTGCAGCGGTGGGCTACTACATTACTCGGCTACGACTTTACCATGAAGCACATTTCTATAAAAGACATTGGTCAAGCTGATGCACTTTCCCGGTTATTAGAAGGCCAGCAGCGCCAGCAAGGAGAATCTATCCTTGCAGCGACCTTGCTAGAATCGGAATTGAATCAGCTGCTGTTGAAAACGCTCAGAGAACTTCCGGTAACTTCGAAATGATACGTGATGCATCAATGCAAAATCCTATCCTACAACAGGCGGTCAGCTTACATGCTACACAGTGGCCGAAAGACAATTTAGATGGGGAATTTCCGAGCTTGTCCCGGAGAAATGGCGAAGTATCCATTGTCAAGAGTTGTTTTCTTTTGGCGGAAAGAGTTATCACTAGTGGGCTTCGCCAAATAATTCTACGACAGTTTCACCGTGGATAATCTGGCATTAGCAGAATGAAAATGATTATGCGGAGTTACGTTTACTGGCCGACTATCGACTCGGAGCAGGAACAGCTAGCGAAATTGTGTCCGAACTGTATGCTTGTAAGCAAGGCGGCTAGGAAAGCGGAATTGTCTTTATGGCCGTTGTCAGTGAAACCGTGGTAGCGAGTGAACGCTATTTCTTTGGTCCCGTGAATGGACAACAGTATCTCATCGTTATTGATTCCTTCGGTAAGTGGTCGGAAGTGTTCTGCATGGAACGCATAACAAGTGGAGCAACAGTGGATCTGTTACGAAGCGAAAGCTTACAGCCAGCGATCAAGTCGTAACCAGTGGCGTAAAAGTGGATCGATCTACAATTAGGGATCAAACTCGAGTACAGCGCAAAATGCGAAACAATGTGGAATCAGCGGCAAGCTGGATAATGGACTTGAGCCATTTGAGTTGGGTTAATTAACATCAATTAGCATCTCCAATATCGTTGTGTTATCAGTTGCCCACAACTTATTTATTGCGCTATGCTCTTATACAATACATCTCTCTGTCCACCTAGTTCTGACCTTTTGTTTTCCGTCGGTTGGCTGCGGGCGTGACTGAGCAGTCAGACAGTCGCAGTTTCAAAGGGCAGCTAGCGGCAGTACGACCAATGGCAGTGGAAGAAAGCAGCGGAAAAGAAGAAGTATGCATGCTACAGCGCACTCAGGTGAGAATCTAACAGTTGTTTGAAACGTTTCTCTGTCTCAGCGTCAACGATAGGCTCCGGCAACCGGTTTCAGTCATCCACTACGCGAACTGATAAGGCTAGATTGATCCACATACGGAGATTTCTCTGTTTGCACAATTTCAAGCGGTGGCCTCGTGTCGAACTCTCAGTGTTGAGCTGAAAGAAGTTCTGTAACTCGAACCCAGTTCTCCTCTGAAAATACATCGCGTGAATAACAAACCGCTAAGTTGAAGGCAGTAACCTAGAGAGAACAATTTTAGTGGTTGAAGTCGAAGAAAATAAGGCAGGGCTCGCAACTCAGTGACGGATTTGGATCCACGCCGTTGAACCACCTTGATTATATCACATTCAAATTGGATGAGAGGATAAAAAGCGGGTGGCGCGTATGCGAGAATCGGGGTACACGCTAGTCAAAGAGGAGTCGAAAGAGCCCGGGGGTCAGGAGAGAAAACCCTCTACATATAGAATGGAACGTCCTGTAGGCCGCGGTGACCCTCTGCTGGGTGTCTTGAATAGATATGAGGTCTGATGACACTATCATTCCAAGATCCCCCTCTTCAGTTGCGCTTCTGAGCAAGTAATCCCCAATGTGTTAAGTTTCAAATGGGTTAGATGAGCTAATGGGCAGCAGGAAGCATTTATCACGATTTGCGGGCAAATGTTAGTAATGGAGATGGAGCGTAGATTATAATCTGCCCGCGCCTTCAAGGCTGGACGCTTCCATCTACAGCTTTAAGTCGTCAGCCTAGATTAAGCAATTCGTCTGAAGAGTGGACGGTAAGTCATTGATCAAGATATTGAAAAGTACGGGACCGAGGACAGAGCCCTGTGGGACCCTACTCGTCATGAGAACAGGGGCAGAAAATGTGTCATTCATCTTCACTTGCATGGAGCGGTCATTTGGGAAGTGAAAGATCCAAGACAATGGTTTCCCAGGAATACCGATTCCTTGGAGTTTAACCAGAATCCATTCATGCAGAACCTTGTCAGCTGCTTGAGTGAAGTCAACAAGCACAACTCCCAAGCGTTTGTCGGAGTCCAGCGACCTTGCCCGTGTCTCCGTCGCAACGAGCAAGTTCGGGGTATAGCAGCGTGCTTTTCGGAACACATGCTGGGCATAAGAAATGAAACTTCATCCCCCAAGAGGAAGATTAACAGTCTGTTTCAGAATCCGTTCCATAACTTTACACACTATTGACGTCAAACAGATTGGAAGATAATTGGCTGGAGCATGTCGACTTCCATTTTTGTAGATGGGTTTGACGATACCCACTTTCCACGCTGACGGAACACGGCCAGCTTTAGTGAGCAACAAAAAACTTGACATACGGGTAAGGCTATGTACTCCGCCACAGTCCTGAGGAACAAAAGATCAAATCCATCAGAGCCGGATGATCTGTGCGAACCTAACTCGAGAAGTTTCATCAAAGTATCACTGTTGATATCTGTTTGGACCAAAGAAGATGGAAAGATGGATACGACTCTGTCAATAAATAGCGGGTCTTCGCGTTAACAGAAGCGTATTGCTTAGTCAAGTGACTAGCTTTCTCAGCGTCCATTGAAGTAAAGCTTGACGATCACAGAAACACCAAGCGCGAATGCAACTACCAGTTCTAG